TATAGTGTATTCACCTTTCGTCATTCCGCTGTCAATTTTGTTTACCAATTTTTTCATTCATTTGTAGTATTGTCTACCTCTATCTGGTGATGTATAAAGCAAAATTTATGGCACTGTCCGACACTTAAATTGATTTTTTATCGCCTTTCAACACGACAAACTTGTTGTTGTCATGCATAAATTACAAGCGAGTTACTAATGGAGAATCAATAATTATGATTGACAGTGTCTACGTTCGCAGTTCGAATCGCATTCGCATATTAAAGAATGCATTTACCAACACTATTTTCAACAAAATGAAGCGGGTTTCGATTGGACAGTAATACTCGTGCACAGATAAATAATTCATCCTAAAAGGTAGGGAGCCCATTTGAGTTGATAAAAGTTATTTTATCATTTTCAGTGCCAATATACTCATTTGGGATTTTCGTATACTATAATGAAATGCCACTAGCCACACAAACTCTTCTTAATAATACGCAATGTTGATTGTATATGCGTTCTTATCGAATTTTCTGCCCCCATCCAATTGAAATTGTAATCCAAAAACATGAATGTATTTGATAAACACTTTAAATGAGATTTCTAAATTCTTTTTGTTTGCCTCTTAGGAAAGAGTTCAATTTTATGTGTTTTATTTTCTTCAGAAGTATTTACCACAATTATTTACAATGTGAGCATACACATATAGTTACGTGTATGTCTATGTGATTGTATATGTGTGAGAGGAAATTTTTGAGAATAAAATTACATTTGCTACAGACCAAATTCAATAAGAATTTTCGATTAAGTTTTTGTTACATTTTGTTCAATTGTGACTTGTGACAGGTAAGATCTGTATGACGCTGAAATGACTTACTTGCAAATACCCTGTAATAAATGTATATTTGAATAAGCAGATATTATGAATGTTGCAATAGAGAGTGAGTAATTTGAATATATTCTTTAAACTTTCTGATTTTTTTAGAGCACAAACCGCATTTATAGAAGTTGTAGATCGTAAGTATTTAGATTCATATACATATATATTGCACATCATAATATTATTATATATTTTCAAATATTATTACTGAAGCAAATTAAAGGAAAATAATAATAAAGTGCTTAGTTCTCAAACTGGATTGATTATAATCTCTAATAAATAAAATATTCGATACATATTCAGTTCAGAAAGCATTCCAATCTCTGCTCAAGACAAAAGTAATCACAAAAATAAATTTCCATTATTGAAAATTCTTAATCAATGATAGAAATTCAACTATTTTTAACAGACATTTAAATTACTGCTGCAGGCTTAACGAATTCGTAAGAATTTGCCAAGTTATTTAAAATTTTCATATCCAACAGCCGCAATAATAAAGCGATTCAAAATGTTTGAACTAAACACTTTAAGCACACACACACACACATGTATATGGACACACACATGCACATGTGAATATGTAGAGAGAACATCTGGCGTTTGATGCCCGAATCAACAATTTTAATAATTTCGTTTTATGAGAATTGCGCTCGGGTTAAATGATTCGAGAAGAATGCAGGGAAGCAAAACTCGTAGCATTTTATGACAGTGTTTTTTTTTTCGCTGTTGAGCGTAACCAACGGAGCAACCCTCTTGTTGTCATGTGTGAGTGTGTGCGTGTGTCTCATATATTTGTTTGGTCGTTTGGCTGGAGCAGCGGCTGCTCTTCAAATGTTTTCGGGATTCATTCCGCTGACTTTTCAATCAGGTTGAAAGCTGTGATGCCTCTTGATTCCTAATCAGGAAAATCTCTTTTAAATGCGTCCACTAATTGCAAAACTGTTGGGGATAATCATAGAGCGAATGAGCTCTGTCAGTCAGCCTTCCCCCTATCTAAGACCCTTCAGCTACACTCGCAAACTAATCAAGAGGCGCGCTTTGTTTTAGACATACGAACTTATACAGATCGAGGTCGAGGGGTTTTTCTATGCGAAAACATTTCTCTGGCTAAGAAGCAATTATCGCAGATAGGAAAAGAGTTTTTCCACTTGTTTTGCGGCAAGTTTTTTGGGATAACTTTTGCTTCTGCCCCAGCCGCTGCCCCTGCCCCTGCCCCAGCCCTGACAAAGGTTCTGTTTGTGAAGCACGTTTATCAGTGGCCAAGTTTTTACTACTGGCTGTGGCCCTCGTCTGTTCATTGTTAACTTTTCTGCCTTACTAATGGCTATCAGAGATAAGTTCGACTACAAGCCAAAGTTTTATTTTGTAAGCAACGTTGTTAATCTGTCGAGCATGTGTAGAAATGGGCGTGGCAGGGGCAATGGCAGCGGCGTGAGGGCGACGAGTGCTTTTAAAAAGTTATCAACAAGCGTTCAGTCAGAGATACGAGTCTTCTGTTAAGACATATACTCCCTACACATGTAACTGACTCACACACTCACACACACACACGCACACACATTTACATAGTGCTAATCAAGTGCATTTGTATGTAGTTTGTCGGCTTGATTTGCAACTTGTAGCATGCCACCTGCGTGCTTTCTGACTTATTGTGCGAGTGTGTTTCCCTAATCAGCGAAATGTGTTAGATTAACGAATTTGCACACTTTGCCATTAGGGATTAAAGAGGAAAGCATTTAATGAGGAATTGCTCTTAATACTACCCTGAATACGGCCTACTAAGCCGACAATTAATTACAGCTACTACATGAGTGCGTTTAGACAACTACTACTATTTGCTAATGCTACTACTATTTGCTATCAGTCTACTACTATGAACTATTTTGTCTGCTATTGTTATTAATATAAAACATAACATATCTACTGCTGGTACTACTTTCTATTAAAATTTAGTTAGACACAACTACTACTATTTTCTACGATTAATATTGGATAATACTATTTACTTCTACAACTATTTACTAGAAATACTCTAGTTTTCTACAGCGTTTAATTTTTTGTATTATTAATGTTTACTACTTCTACTACTATTTATCATTACTATCTAGTACCACTACATATTACATAATATAAGTAATTTCGCTATCAACAACTATTACTATTTTCTAATACTAATATTTACTTTTCTACTACTATTTTCCATTATTATCTACTACTATTATTACTACTATTCTGTACGTACTACTACTATTTATTATTTCTACTTAGCACTGCTTCTACTAATTTTATGTTTTTTTCTACTACTACTAAAAGTATTATTACTTCGGTATTCAGTAATACTACTAATTATTCCCACTGTAATGACTACTATTTTGTATTCTCTATTATAATGCTATTTTATGTTATTTAATCATATTATATACCATCATTTCTTTTTATTTGTGTTCTACTACTAATACTAATTTATTACAAAAATTATTCTATATATATTTTATTTATTTTTTATTTAAAGTATATCATTTTACAATTTTATTATTCATTATAATGACGCACAAGCTGTAGTTCTTTAAAGTATTTTTAAACAATTTATATCAATTTCATTTTTCAATAAACTTGATTCGCATTTACAACAGCTTTAAAATAAAATTTTAATCAGCTGCTGAAAATTGAAATTGTCTGATGGCGCCCGGAAATGTGCAGCCATACATACATACATATATCTGTAAAATATATATGTATGCAAATACACGTGTAAGTGTGTGTGTGTGTCGCACAAGTTGGCTTCTAGCTGGGCTGTTGGGCAGGTGAATAGACAGGTAGATTGTGTATGATGAGATTATTTGAATTACCTTTGCAATCAAATTGACACCACATAGACGCACCGTAACGGACAGCGGACTGACTGGGACAGACAGCTGGACAGCTGGACGGACGTCAGGAAACAGACGGTGCAAAGTAAATGCGACGTATGCAATTGCAAAGAAGCAGAGGGCGAAAGAGAATGAGAGGGGAACAAGAGACAGCAGAAGAAATTCTAGTTTGATGGACAGTCAAGACTTTATACATTATCTATATATACATACATATATATGTATATATGGAGGTACTGACACAGTCTGTCAGACTAAATAATTCAAATGAAATTTTCACTAATGCCCCAATACACAAATTTCCTGAGCTCTCGGCTCAGAGTAGGCTGTTAATGAGCAGCAGATGAGATGCGAAGCAGCAGCCGGAGAAGTATTCACAATCGTTTTAGAATCTGAGCGAGAGCAAACACATTTCAAGAAAAATGTCGGAATTGAATTTTGTGGAGAAGTGCACCGAATTTGCTTTGGAGTCCACAGTGGAGCTATTTGACTGTATGAACTTGCAGGAGCAGGACGAGAAAAATCTGTCGGTTGAGGACTGTGAGATGACGTTGAAGCAGCTGGATCTGGACCAGGTGCAGCGTCGCCAGAGCATTGTCTTCGAGAATGCCCAGAAGCAGGTGGCTGTGCTCGAGAATCTGCTGAAGACCGTCGAGCCGGACTGGCAGAAGGCCGTGGAGAAGCCAATGACTGACGGAGAGTGCCCGCCGCCGAAGGCCTATCGCTTCAAGGACATCTATGAGCGCAAGAAGCAGAAGCTGCGGCAGCAGCACCTCGAGGAGGAGCGTGCTATGCGCCAGTTCCACAGCCGTCCGATGCCCAACTTTAGCCGGGTCCATCGTTACCTGGCCAACAGGCCCATTGTGCATCGCATCACCTGTGCGGTCACGCCCAACGTGCTGAAGACGTCGCGGCAAATGCTGCTAAAGCGCAAGCAAAGGATCGAGCAGATGCAGCGCGAGCAGATGCAGCGCGAGCAGGAGCAGCTGCAGAAAGTCAAAATGTGTCCCAAGCCGAAGCCGGTGCCCAGGCTTAAGCCGGCTCCACTGAAGCCGGCCAACGCTCCGTTGCAGCTGGAGGTCAAGCCGTTTCGTCTGTCCACTGAACTGCGCGCCGAGCAGCGCAAGATCTTCAATGCTCACTCGCTCGAGACTCAGGAGGCCAAGCGTCGTCAGCTGGAGGAGCAGCGCAAGCGGCGCGAGGAGGAGGAGTTCCAAAAGCAGCGCCAGCTGGCCACGTTTCGTGCTCGTCCCAATCCCTTCAAATATCAGTTCGGCGGAAGTGCCAAGCATTAGTGTTTTCCGTGTTTTGGTTATTTGATTAGTTTATTGCAAATTTGTAAATTGTTTATCGTTTTTATAGTTTTCTGTTTCTTATTGTTCATATATTAAATTTAATATAGCTCAGCCAACAACAAAATTAATCAAGGACTTTTGGTATCTGCTTGATATGTGAATGACGCATAACGGATTAGAATATGATTAAAATACCAAATGAAATAATTCAAATATATGTTAAGCAATTTCAGCTTAATCGTATAAAGAGATAAGCTTGGAGATCGCATTATAATTTCGATTTCAAATGGTAAATATATTTTATTTTATTTTTTTTTTTATGATTTTTTTTTTTTTGCTGATTGATTTATTTATTTTTTTGTACTAAGTTTATATTAAAATTCTATATAAATTCTACTTTAATCGTAGTTCAGAAAAAAAATTTGTTTTTTACTTCAAATTAAATTCATTTTTTTTTTTTTACAATTTTCGTTAAAATGCTCTTTATACTTCAAATTTGCCTCAGATAAATATTTTTCTTTACAAATCACAAGTTTATTTTGAAATTCTATATACTACAAACTTATATAGTCGTTTTTGTTTTATAAGCCATCCCAATTTTCTGCTAAAATTCTATATATATTTTACATTTATTTTAGATAAATATTTTGTTTACAAATCAAAACAAATTTATTTTGAAATTCTTTGCCACTATCAAAAATATTTACCCAAAAGAATTTCGCCTAGATAACTCCCCAAACTCCAATTCCAATGCCAATGCCAACTGCCAGCTGGAAGCCGACTTCACTCAAGGCATATTTTAGGACGCTTTGAAGTAAAAGGCCAACCACCTTGACTCTGGCAGACTTTGCCTGTGGCTTTGATAACTTATGCTAGACATAATTGAACACGGCCGGCAAGCAGAGCACTAGGAGGAATAATTAAATCTCTTTTTATATACAGAGATGCTTGTGTGTGTGTGTGTGCTTTTGCTGAAGAACACTCTTAAATTTCAATAATCATTTGCACACATGTGCGCACATTCAATTTGTTCATTTAAAATAGCTCAGGTCGAGGCTCTCTCCATCAATCAAACGCTTGCCATCAATTCCCATGCCCCGCCCCCATGCCCAGAGCCAAATGCCCGCCCACGTGTTTCAGTACAAACAATTTGTTGTAAGTGTATCAATTGATGCGCTTCGCATATATGTATGTATGCATGTATGCATGTAAGCCTGTGTATGGGTGTGTGTGTGTTTGTGTTGCCCGCATGTCTGTACAAGCGCGTGTGTGTGTGCGTGTGTGTCTGTGGACGTCACATAATCAAAAGCACAAATACTAAAACAAGCACTCAAACTGTCAAAGCAATGATTGATAGTGTTGACATTCGCTTTTTGGCTTCAGCTGGCAGCTCGTGAGTTTTTGTGCATTGAATTCTGTTAATGGGACGTTTGGCGATTCTATACAATGTGCCACGCCCAGCCGCCCTCTCCACCTACGCTCTCACCTGGCTTTCAGTTGAATGATGAATTGCATTGCGTTTGCTCCGCCGATACGAAGGTTGGGTGAAATTTGTAATATTGTAAATTCTGCTGAGTAAGTTTAAAGGTGAGCTTCCATTAAAACGATATTAAATAACAGTGCTCTATGTTTTTATTAATTTTTTTCACCAGAAGTGCTGAAACACGCCCTGTCACTGTTTGTTTTTATCAAATGTTTATTTATTTTTTTTATGATTTAATTTGAATAAACGCAAAGCCTATGAAAAAGTTTTTTTTTTTTCAAATTTAGTTTGTAAATTAATCCGAGTGAAATCCCATATTTGTGGTCTTGTCAGTTTTTTTTTATAAAAATTATGTACGTATATATCTTTTTTTTTTGTGAAATGGAATATATTAATAATTAGTATTCACTACATATGCATATAATAATATAATTAAACGACTTTCAATATTTAACATTTGCTGAAATTGAAAAAAATATTTTTTATAAAAAGTTGAAGCTAACTCTATTTTAGTTTGGTTGTAATCGGCTTAAATATGTTTTGCATTTACTTTTCATATTTTGTTTTCATTATTTTTATTTATTTATTTATTTTTTTAATATAATTTTGTAACTTCTGCTTATTTTTAGTTGGCATATAAAATCTGGTACAAAAACGATAATGTTAAAACAACATTTTCAACCTCCCCGCTATCGGTTAACTCCAGAACTGTGCTAACGGTTAACAGTATAACAGTTTACTTTGACGCTTTTGACAATAGGTGGCGGACTGTTACCTTAACAGAGTATGTTAAGTTAACATTTGCACAGATTTTAAAGCAACATATGAAGAGGAAATATTACATGTATTTTGTATTAAAAAAACTGCAAAAAACTAATATTTTAAAAAGCATACTTCTTAATATTTATAAAAAATATGAAAGTATACGAAAATCTTGTGTTTGGGATATACTAAAAATAACAAGAGACACCAACGCTGCAGTTGAAGCAGGGAACAATGCGCCAAATTTGATAAGCTTGTGTAAGAGTGTGTGCGTGTGTGTGTGAGTGCGTACAAAGCGTGTGTGTTTGAGTGCATGGGGAGTGGTATGAATTTACGTTCAGTTTTTATGCGTGGGTGGCGGGTTAAATAAGACGCTTTTGGGCGCTGGCAAAGGGCGGGGGCGGGAGCCAAGAGTGTTCGGGGGAAGGCCGTGAGAGCTAGCTGGCTGGCTGGTTGGGATTCGATTGCGTTGGCGACTCGCCGACAATCTGCAGAGTTTCGCTGGCTTTTTGTTTGCGGCTTGGCACAGTGGAATTTAATAACGCGCTGATGCATGCAAAATAACGCATAAAAACATAAAAATGCACACGCAAAAAAAGGGGCAAACAAATTACAACACACACAGCCGTACAACCACAACAAAACAATTGGGGTGGGATGAGTGAGCCAGGAAGAGAGAGTGAGGGTGAGGGTGAGGGTGAGGCTTCTGCAATGTGAGCGCTTCAGTAGCTGCAGTAAAACAATTTTCGCAGTCAATTTTCCTTTATGAGCGGAAAATATTCCGCTGTGAAAATATGATGCGCATATTGGCAGCCATCAGTCGAGGCTCCAAGTGCTACCCCCACTGCCCTCCCCTTGGGCCTTTCCATGCCAAAAGAAAGAAAAGAGACTACCGCGTGCTCCACTTTAATTGAAACGCCAAATACTGCATTAAATCAATCGCCAACAAAATGAAACAACAAATTTCAATCGGATAGTTAAAAAGAACAAAGTCCGCATAAAAAAAGCGCTAAAAAAGTTGCCGAATTGCGACATCAAACCCGGCAAAGGTAAAGGCAGACTCAGACTCCGACTCCGGCTCAGACTCAGACGCAAACGCATTTGGCTGCAGCAAGTCAAAGTCATTAAAAAGTAATGCCAAGTCGTCAGCCAGCCACGCCCCCCATACTACAATTGCCTCTCAACTCCTTCGCTAGCAGGCGCGCCATTAATGATGGATGGTTCGCCCGAGTTCCGTATACCGAGTCGACTCGACTGTTGCGCCACCAAAACGAAAAAGAAGAAGAAGATGAAAAAAAAAAATGATTTGATGAAAACATTTGAAATTTTTATCGGGTGCAAATTTATGCAGAACTGTTGATGTCATCGCTCAGACCCCTTCAACGTCCCGCCCCCCTCGTCCTCGCCCACGCAAAAATGATGACGATGCGAGTGACGTTGAAATATGAAGCGACATTACCTACGACTACGCTGAGCACTGGCAGCCGGAGTTGAGGGCAGCAATTTCTGCCGGGGCCTGCAATGATTGGCTTTTTTCCTGAAAGTCCGCCCCCCGCTTTGGGTTAGAGCCAGCCAAGCGCGTCTGTTAACTGTGCTTGGCCTCAGCCGATAAGAAGTTGGCTTTTCCATTTTCTCATATTATTTTTTTTCGTTTTTGTTTAGCGGAGTCTTAATTTTTATTACCATTAGAAGTGCACTTAAAATTTGTAATAAATGACTTGGCAATTGATTGGAAGCCAACGATTTTATATGCTCCATAAAGCATCGACACAGTCGAGCGAACAGCTATATAAATACTTGCACATAACTATGTCATATAAATGCTAAAAATTGCCCAATAATAAGTATACAGGCATTAAATAATCATTCAATCACTGGCTTCAATGCCGCCAGGCATCATAAACGAAAACTTTATAGATTATTTGTTTAAGTGAAAAGACATTAAATTTTCGTTTTTTATTGATATCTTGGATTAACATTCGAGTCTCTACCGCTTTGTAGTTTAAAAATGCATAAGATATTTATGGGCCAAGTTAAAAGTTTATGAAGTGAAACAGATTTCATTTGATTAAATAAATCTTTAATCTATACTTACAAAATAATTTGTTAATGAAATGATATATTTACAACTAAGGAATAAATCCTAATTAAAAAACTAAACCTGATTTTTCACTGTTGGCTTAAATCAATAGGACTTTCATATATCATGGTATTTTTTTTTGCCCAAAAAAGTATGCTATAAAATTTTTGAAAAATAATAAATGTAAATTAGTAGATAATCAGAGCTTATATATTGAATTAAATAGAATTTAAAAGTTAATAACAAACATTTAAAATTGATTTACTAAATTTAGGCCCCCATCTATTTCCAAATAATATCAAACACAATATATTATACACAATTTTCCAGCTGAATTGACCTTATATAACATCGATTTTATTTTTTGACGAAACACTTGGATTACTACTATATGTACTTCAGGTTTATTGGCCATTCATTTTAAAGACTTGGGTTTTTTTTATGACTGTGCGTGTATTTCATAAACTTGGAGCAAATTGCGTGAAACTTTTACGGATTAAAGAGGACAGTTACAGTCGATGGTAAATAGGACTGTACGCTTGCAAACCATATAGAGCGTGGACCATGTACTGCCCTAGGTACATGGTACAACTATGTGTGGCTATTATAAAAGTTGACTTTTTTATATGCGTCTGGTCCCCTAGTGGATGTTACGCTGCCTGATGAGTGTGGCTTCAAGTTTTTTATTGCCGGGCTCTGTTTGATGTGAGCCTGAGCGTAGAGCATGCACTACGCTCGGGATAGGTCTCGCATTCTATCTGTAT